AGAGAGAGAGAGAGAGAGAGAGAGAGTAGAGAGAAGAGTAGTAGAGTAGTAGTAGTAGTAGAGAGTAGAGTAGAGAGTAGAGTAGTGTAGAGTGAGTGTGNGAGAGAGAGAGAGAGAGAGAGGGAATTCAGCAAAGAAAGACTGGAGAGAGACTAATTAAGCAAGCAAAGGTGAGTATTAGTATTGTAGCAGACGAAGGCTGTGGGAAAGAAGAAGAAATAGAGAGTACTCCAGAAACTAAAGGCGAGGGAGAAAGACTATAAGAAAAGGTGAGAGAGAGAAAATTATCAAAACCTGGAGAACAGGCAACCCTAATACTTCTAAAAAACAAAAACCCCAAAGCTTGCCCTCATTTCAAAAGGGATTTACAATACCAGGTAATTGTTTTTGAGTATCTCAAAAAGATGCTATCCTGGCAATCTTACACATAGGAAGAGACACAGTCTCAGGCAGGGTCATAAGACCCGATGAACTGGTTCTTGAATTTGCCTATCCAACTCAGATTTAGTGGATGGACGATCAGAGTACAAATCATCCCGCCCCCCCCCCCCCGCTCCCCTCCCCTCCCCTCCCCTCCCCTCCCCTCCCCTCCCCAAGGAATTAATGATACTATCTTTGCACTGATTCAGCCAATCCAGTTCTTTGATCCAGTGGGCAATCCAAAACCCGATTCCAGGTTTTAAACTCCAGTCTTAATTAAGCATTGAAATTGAGGAAACCTTCATGTGACTTAAACTTTTATAACCACTTATGCATTTAAGATATTTGAGGATTTGTGCTATATTGGAATCAAACTTACCAATTTACCTCATGTTCGTCCATGTATGCCTCCCAGTTGTTTAAAGAGTCAGATTCAAGCTCTGACTCACCAAGGGCTCATGACTAAGTGCCCCGTGTTCTGCTCACACAAGTCTGAGCCAGACTGGGGAATGTTTAATAGGAAAAAATTTAAAAACTACGAAAACGAGGAGACTTGAGCAACTCTAGGATTTCTCGCCTTGGGATCGCTTGGCTTCTGATCCAAGCCAACATGAACGAGTCCCTAGTCACACTGAATATTTTTTAATGTTTTCTCCAACATACTCCCTCTATCAATTATGGAACCATCATTACATGCATGGCCAATCTTTACCGGTTGGATTCCATTGCTTTCTAATATATTTCGATCAATCATCACTAAACGTGAATTAAAAGAACGGAAACTTTTGTATGGGGCCCCATAAAATACATACAATTTATATGTTTATGGGGACCAATGATTGTCCAATCTTGATCAGACATCTAGTAGTGAACCAACAACAATGTTTTAGTCTAGTGCCAGCTGCTCTTGTCATACTATAAGGTGTGTCATTGTAGTCAGCTCACATAAAGTTGTCTGATCAAGATTAAATAGTTGCAAGTCTTTAGACATACAAATTATAGGAGTATGGGGACCCATTGAAAGATCGCAAAATAGATGCCCCTACACAAGAATTATCTTAGACACATGGATTAGGGCATTTCTTGTCAATAAAAAGTGTGAACCTTTAAAAGTTCACCATAACAGTGACATATAACCCCTAAATATGGAGAGGCACATAAATACGTAATACAGGAACAAGTGGAAATGTATGTATGCATTAGTATATGTGTGTGTGTATACCATAACCTTAGAATTGAATTATGTAATCCAAAATTAAAACTTTACCACATTTGGCTAATTACCACAATAAAAATCATATCATGCTATGTCAAACCCAAAATGCAAGCAGCATGAACAAGGTGAGAAATTACCAAATTGTCACTCCCTTTCAATCTCCCCAAGGGTGAATTTTGAGGAACCTCCAAAAGCCCAACTTGACAACTGGTGAGCAAGAGAAAACATATGTTTATAGCCGGAGCTAGGAATGAAGAGACATAGTTGCACGAAAATCCTCATAGAGGTCTTAATATTTCCTAATTCGCTGAAAATATGAGGCTCTCTGAGACAAGAGTAACTCATTGAAACCTCACATGGGGACAGTAATGCTAAGATCAGTTGAGAAAGAACTTTACATTTATATGCAATGAATTACTATTCATTTATTATAGGGTGTGGTTTGTATAAGGTTGCAACCTTAAACCATCCAATTAAGGCACACCTCCAAATTTTATCATAACATGTAATTTTGGTGTAAAAAATTCTTAGGATTATCTGAAAATCTATTTTCATCTCTAATTATAAAATTTTAAAATCCAAAAATAATTAAAATCAAGTAGATCTATTAACGTATGAAAATATTGAAAATGAACGGTCTAGATAATGTGTTGCAAAATGCACTATTTTTGGGACTCAAAATCTCCTTTTTTTTCCATATTCATACATCTCGATGTCGAGATGATCAATTAGAAGGTTTTTCAACATTAAAACAACCTTTTCTGATGGATATTTGAGGTGCATCTTTAATTCTACATTTTAAGGTTGCAACCTTATATAAACTTTTTCCTTTAATATATATACGAAGTGCAAAACAAAATAAAGCAATATACCAAAAGTAAACCACATGAGACAGTACTTTCAAAAATCTGTATTGTTTTATTTCAGAAAGCTGTATTGTTCAAATCCAAATTCAGGAAGGGACAAAGACGTAATGAGTATGATTTTAGTGATAAAAGAATTAGCACATTTAATGAAACACATCCCAGGCCAAAAAACCCTGGAATTGAAGACTCTCCCATTTTGCCAATATTTTCAATTTTCTTTGCTAGAACTTCCGTGGTCCAACTCAGACTTACCCCATTAGGACCAGGTGACTCAGGATTGGAACCCTAGTGAGTCCCTAGCCAAGTCCACCTTTTTAATCACCGATAGAATTCCACACCAAAAGTCCACAATTGGGCTCAATCCCCAAAGCAAGTGAAGTTGTAGAGTCATGTACTTTATGACTGAAGTCAAGAAATCAGACTATTCTTAAAAGAAGTTTCAATAATGTGGAACCATGAAGATTTATAATGCCCATAACAGCTCAAACAAACCCATCCAAATGTGCCTGCTGATAGAGGATACTTGTTGAGTACATACTATTTTATAAACATTCCATTTAGTGTGTCGGAGTTATCAAACAGGTCAGGCTCTTAACCATAAGTAAATAGTTAGAGGCATATTATTCAAAAGAGAACGGACATAGTGAGAAATATAGTTCGAGAAACATAAACAATCATCTGAAAAACTCCACATCAGTTAAGAATATAGACCTTGAGCCCTCGATCACACAGACATATCGGAGAACGTTCCCCGTTGAAGAAGCCACATTGACTTTCTTTTTTAGTTCATCATCGAGCATTTCAAGGCCATTATCGAGAAAATCTTGTGTTGACATTTTTTCAGGTCCCATCAGATCTGAGTACAAGCTTTCCACCTGCATATTGGAAGAAAAGCACAAACACAATTTGCTTTGAAACCTTCTTTATCAATTGAAATGTAGTTACACAGTAAAACATAGAACAGATAAGTAGTGAGAATAGACCTTGATATTTCCTATGTTAGTACGCCCGCCAAGCAGCCGAAATAGGATCAAAGCCTGTTCAGAAACCATAGCATGAATATAGTATTTCTGCTCATGCAAAGATTAGTTGCTAGGGAAGGAATCATTGTTTAAAGGGATAGATTGCAGGGCAACCCCTATCCCTTTCAGATTTACAGTCCTGCATATGGATATTTTGATAAATTTCCCACTAAAAACAATAAGTAACATCAAGTAGTAATTTTCGTGGTACTTTGGTATAATATATTGGAAAAAAATGGTACCCCAATTCATACGTGTTCATAGTTCACAAGACGCAAGTATTATGGTTTCATACCTTCCTAGCTACATCCATTCCGCTAAGGTCATCGCGTGGATCTACCACATGAAGATGGCAAATAAGCAACAGGGAAATAGTCCAAATAGTATATGCATGTTTTTTTGCAAGTAAAGCATTTCATCAAAAAAGGATCTAAATACTGCAGAATGTAGAACATGACTGGTGTGCAAGTTGGATTTTAAATGGATAATCAACAAAAATGGGTTAATGGATGGTAGTAACCTTTCTAGAAATAATAGCCATGTGAAACCAGGTAACGCAAGTAACTTGAGTTTCTTTCAGTCAGCGTCTCAAAAAATGCTAGGCAGCCAGCCAGGCGCTAGTGCCCAGGTGCTAGGCAGGCGCCCAAGTTCTTAATTTATTTTCTTTCCTATTTTCTTAATATTTATTAAAATTTATTTTCTCTGGTATTCTTTTAAACTCTAGACATCTTGGTCATTCTGAGTGTCTGGGGTATGCAGGACTTCCAAGGCAATCACTAATATTTTATATTATGGTGCTACCGTTTCTAAATGTCCAATGTAAAGTGTACGACCGATACATAAACATTTTGCTATACCTGGGGGTTCTTTTTAACAACGAAGTTCAGGTAATACTTAAAAATGGCGTTCTATGGAGTGAAACTATGGTATTGCCTGTAAACTGTATTTATTGTGGTAATGGTGGCCCTAAATGTTATTGGATTAATTACACATTTTCATCTGCATTACGAACTATACAGTGGTTTTAATTTATTGTGACTTCTTTGGAGAAATAATGGAGATCCACTATTGTATTTTGTAATGGCAATTGGGATTTGAATTCTTTGGTAGAACTTTTTCTGATAAAAATTGTTGCGGGTGGTGAAGATATACTTGCTTGATGGTTCGGTATTCTTCCATTTTGTGTGGAAGGGGTATTCTATGTGCCCCATAAAATGGGTTCAGGTTAGTGTTTGCTCAGCCTGTGGTGTTTATCTTACAAATTAGGGAATCCATGAATGGGTCGACTCCTTGGAAAGGTTTGGGAACTAAGGCCTTTGTTGATTATCTAGGTTCCAATCACTGAAACATACCTAATTATCTGAGATCTAGATATGCAATTATTTCATGGAAGTTTCAACTACTTATCTTTGTTGAAGGTTTGGTGGAAGTTTCAACTTGAGACTCATCACTTAAAATCATATTTTTTTTTAAAGAATGCCTGGCTTCTAGGCACAAGTTATCGTTGATTGGAATCAAAGCCCGCCAAGGCACCCTCCTTGGGGAATTTGCAAGAATTGAATTTCCAATTTTTTTTCAATTTGGGGGTTTAGAATACTCCCAAAGGCCTTTTATGAAAGAAAATCATTGGTATGAAATGACCCAAAGTGCCCCGAAAGGGCACTTTATTCTCAAAAAAAGGGCCACAAGCACTAGCGCCTGCCTAGGACTAGGCACCCGCCTAGGACTAGGCGTTCCTAGGACACCTGGGTGGTTGCCCAGGAATTAGCGCCCAGGAAGTGATGCCCAAGCCTGGGCATATGCTTTGGGTTCCACCAAGCGCCTAGGCGGGAACCTAGGCCGGCAGACCGTTTTTTAAAACAATGCCTACAATTAACTTGCCTTACTCCAGCTATTAGATGTCAACTTGGATGTATCATTCCTCCGCTCAAAGTCTTTCAAACTTTTTTGACAGACTTTAAGTGGAGGAATGACACACCCAGCCATCTTCTGTTGATATTGGACAGTTGTGGTGATGCTAGTGAACTGTAGGAAACTTAAGTTCTAGCATTGTATGTGAACCCAATGTTTAATGTAAGAGGCTTTTGCCAAATAAGATTAATAATAGTGGATCACCTCAATAATAGTTTTTGTTTTTTGATGAATTGATCACCTCAATAATAGTTTATCACCTTTGAGGTGATGGAGTGACAGGGAATAATGCAGGATAGACTCAAGAGACATACTACTAAAAAACAAAGCACGCATTATGTACCAGGAAAATCTGACATTAAGAAGCAACTCCTAATGCAGCCTATTCATTCACAAAAATACAAGTCTTTTCCATTGGAATAACTAACCACAATAACTAGCTATTTCAGTCACATTCAATGGAAATCTTCTGAACACCTATTCTAACATTGACCAACATGTTAAGTTGTCCAACAATTTGAACTCTTAACTAGGATTTTTCTATTGGATAGCAATTTGATAACACATTCACAGACCTATTCAATTACTCAGAAGGCTCCATGCACATGAGTCCGACATTAATTAGCTGCACGTGGAAATCGCAACACTTGATACTAAATAGTGAAATGAGAATTTGAACAACTGCAGGGAAATGTAAACCACTGATCCAAGTTAAACAATCCATGGCATAAGGATGTACAGAGTTCAGAAAGCCACAATGATACCAGCAGATCTGGAGAAGTAAGACTCAAATGCCTCCATGATGGTTTTTTTTTTTCCCCTGAGAGTGCCTCCTTGTGGGTAGTTCCATTATGGAATTTTGGGGTACAACTATGCAGTCACCGAAGCCCCCTACTCTTCAATTATCACCAGTATGAATTATGTGGGAACCTTTGCAATCGTCCATATTAGAAGATGCACAAGCAGATTAAAATGGAGCACATCTCAAATGCTACAGCAGGGTCAGAATAAATTAGTGATATTGCTTGGAGAAATTGAAATATCCATTTTCTTTCATGTCATTATGCTAATCCATTTTCAATTTTTAAATATATTTATTATCTTGTTCATAACAATTGTCCAATTCTATCCCATTCACTGTTTACACTGGAACATATTAATCCTATAAAAGATCATCGTTCTACCATGAATAATGATTTAGAAGTTAGTAGAACATGATTATTGCCTGATCAAGACAGTAAAATCTACATTTTGAGTTTATAACTGTTGTCTTCAAACTAAGGAAATATTCTGCTTCACATTTTCTTTTCTTTTTTTCTATTCTTTTGGAGGAATTCCACTTCACATAATTATTCGAACTGCATGATACAAGCACAGAATAAAGAATCCACCTGGTTCTGTAAACCCAAGTTGTTTAGCCGCTCGAACAACTTCGCTGAATGGTTTTCCATCTTCTAGTTCACTCATTACATAGCCAAGTGTACCTGGCACAACCAAGTTTTGGAACCAAAAAGAGAACCACTATATGGGACAGCATAACTAAAATAAAGAAAACAAAATCATTTTAACAATAACAGTATTATAATAAGTTAAGAAAGGAATAATAGCATACCACTCACACTCCCAATAATGCGGTGGACAGGGTCGCCTGATGTAAGTAGACGGTTTAAAGACGTGATCACTGGAAGGCCAGCTCCTACCTAATAACCAAGAAAGAAGTCTATATTGTTCTGATATAAGCAATGAAATTCTTAAGAACAAATAATATTTTGTTCTAGCATTTACCCATCTTTCCAGATAATATTTTTGCTGCTTTATTTTCTTTATGAAATACCACAAATCGCAAATGAAACACTGTTTTTTCACAGGTAAGTGCTTTATTTCCTTTCACACCATGTTTCATCGGTACTAGATGAACTAATTTCCAACTCTCCAGGTCAATGGCTCAATGCAGAAATATATTACTTCCATATTGGCTTGGTGCTAAAATACTTTACCTTATCACATTTAGGGAAAAAGACATATACCCCCTCCCTAAAATAAGAGGTCCCAGGTGAGGAAGAAAGAGAAAGAGAAGGAGAGCTTTTCCAGGATTTAGCTAGCAGGGTGATTAAGAAAAAAAAGAAAGGCAAATTCTGTAATTTGGAAAATGGAATAGGTAATGAAGGGGTTAAACGTCCCCTTTTTGTTTTAACTTGGGGGTTCCATGGGATATTTATAGGACAAGGAGATTATTTAGGATTATAATTTTAGAGAGGGGGGTTTATATCTTTTTCCCTATCATTTATTGAATTGTGGTATCAGTTAGCTCTGTCATGGAATTCCCAAGGCAGCCACTACTAACTAACAATTCTAAGGCACTCCAAGGTTTCCACCACCAAATAAGTGAAATTCAAGCTCCTAAGATTCACAAGTGCTCTAGATCATCAATCTTATATTAGATAACACCAAAGAAGAGTGATGGTTCTGTATAGAACTCCAGTTATTGTATAAACTATCAAAATCAAACTTATCCGGACAACTCATAAGCTTGAAATAAAGGAAACATCACAAACCGAAAAAAAACATTCCATTCACAAGTTACTATAAGAGCATGAACTAATCTGAGTAATTGTATCATTTTGTTTCCATAATTTACAAAACAAATGGTGGTGCATATTAAAGCTTGATCAAGGAATAAAAAGAAAACCTACTGTTGACTCGTATCTAATGTGACGAGGGCATGAGACCAATTTATCATAAATATCCTGCACACAAGATGATAGAAATCATCTCAACATTCTAATTTACTGTTATGGTGAAAAAGAAACGGAATATACTTATATCTGTGTAGAAAGAAATAGAGAGAGGAATTACAATATCAGATGTGAGTGGCTTCTTGTTTGCCAGGACAGCAAAGCACCCTATTTCAATAACGCTTTTCAGTATTATAATGGTGTCAGCACTTGCAGAGCAATCAATATAAACCAAGCCTGTTAAGAAAAGATGGACAACAAAGATGCCATCAAAATTTTAGACTGCCTCTCCAGTTAGAATATTACACGAACTCTAAAGTGACGAAGTAAAACACCAAATGGGAGCTAGAGAATCAACCAGAAATCCACATGCTCTCTTTGAATATTTTTTTTCTGAAATAATTTTTTGAATATTAAAAAAAATGAGGATTTATGGTAACTCAAAGATCCATGCTTGTATTCAATGGTAACTGACACCAATAATTTATTTGGTATTTTATACTCAAACTTACTGTAACTATCCCCATGAACTTGAATAAGCATTATGTAATAATTTTTCCAAAGCATAACAAAAGTCAAAAAAAGAAAAAATGATAATAATAATAATAGAGCTGAAGCGATGCCTTGGTTAAGTATACTAATTAGTACGAACCAGTTGAACTTGCAAGAAGGCCTCCAACTTCAATGAGCTTCTTGTCTACTGCTGGATACTCAATTACATGGCATCCATCTACAACACCAAAAAATAATAAAGGTAAAAATGGAAATTGATAAAAGACTACCAATGTCAACAAGTATATGAACTCAAAACAAAGGACGGTGACAATAACAATAAAAAATAAATTAAAGAGATTGTAGATTAACTATGAACAACTGATTATCACTACCATAAGAAGAAATGAACCCAAATCATAGATAGATCAATTAGCATGCACCATCAAATAATAATAATAATAATAGTAGCTATAATAATAACAATAATAATAATAATAATAATACTAACAAAATGAAGAAGAAGGACAACAACAACAATGGTGATCGTGAAATTTACAGAAACAGAAAGACAGGAGATGCTAACCATAATTTAACGTGGATAGATAAGATCCAGAAGACTTTACTCGTCGAATCTCTTCTAAAGCATCTTCTCTCAATTCCCCCTTTGAAAGATCATTCACTAGAACCAGAGAACGGCTATCACAAACCCCAATGAATCTCAGCATCACCCCCTGATCAACTACAACAATCAAAATCCATGCAAAATATGAACCATAGATGAATGTAATTAGCACATGTCGTGCAATAATTGAGGTCAAGAGTTAATGGCAAGGGCATAAAGAAGAGAAACAACCCCAATTTTTACTGAAGTAATTTTGAAAATGTTAACCACAAGAAAACCGGTTGTAAAGCCCTAGTTGAGCTTGAGAATAGCAGGCAATGGTGGGAACTAGAGAGAGAAAACCCTAGTTTCCAAGTACATGCAATGGACAGAGAGAGAGAGAGAAACCCTAGTCTTATGATACCTTTATAGCGTGCAATTCCCGGCAGGTGATGATGTGGTCTATGAGTTGCAGGCCAACGCCACCACAACCCATGAGAATCAGCGGAATCACCTTCATCTTTGCTCTCTCCCTCTCTTCACTGTCTCAGTGAGGTTTCTCTCTCTCCCCCCACTGTTTCAGTGAGGTTTCTCTCTCTTCCCCCCTCACTCTCTCTCTCGACTGTTTTAGTGATGTTTCTCTTCCTTACCCCCTCTCTCTCTTCACTGTTTCAGTAAGGTTCCTCTTTCTCTCTCTACATATATATCTGTGAGCAAGAGCACTGCCTTCCGTCGTTATGGTTGTTTGATCCCAGAGGCAGTATAAGGATCCGCTTTGTATAGGCCCTAGGTTGTAACTAATCAAATTACAGCCTGCCTTCAAATAGTATCGATAAATTTGGTTTCAATACCGATAAACTTTGTCATAGCTTTAAAATATATTTTTATTTTTATTTATAAAGTTTGAAGTTTCAAAAATAATATGATCGGCAAATCTATGAAATTTAAAAATCTCGAAAATTGACAGTCTAAAAATAAATTACAAAATACATTATTTTCAAAACTTAAAATCTATTTTTTCTCTCATGTCCATACATCTCGATCAATTTTGAGAATTTTTTAACATAAAAAACAACCTCTTTTAGTGAAAATTTTTAAAATAGATTCGAATTTGATTGCTTAGAGCCTCCGCTCTATATAAACCTCTCCTTTGTGTAATGATATGATTAAATCCGTAACGGCGCAAACACATAATTAACTTTAAAAACTGTGTTCCCGCCATTTGAAAGCGGAGAAACGCATGGTGTATAAACTGAGCGCAGTTAACTTTTGGAAGGGAAATTCACGTTATCTCAAGCCGTCAGATACGAACTTGGACGGCTGTGCAATGAATAGAGGAATACACGCCCTGAGCCCTTAAGTTCACATTTGACGATGGTGTGGGTGAATTTCCGATTCAAGAGTTGGTTGCGCTCATTATAGGTTATGGGTAGTACTGAGGCGGGACAAGATACCTATTATTTTAAAATTTTCTTATAAAATTTAGTGATATATTTTTAGAACTTTCAAGAGTTATGTATAGGATTTTTAAGTTTTTTCAGGTTCTAGGGAATTTTTTAATACTTTGAGGTACAAAGGCAGCCATCGTATTAAACATAAGTTGGATACAAGTCAATGATCCACTTCAAAATTTAGCATTAATGGTGGGTCATCTCCAGCATCCATTGAAGAGGATGGACGGCGAATGACTAATTTGTGTTCTGTGCATCATTTTAGTTCATCCATGGAGGACAAGCACGGATACGGTAGTCATGTAGGGGAAGCATTTTGGTCTCATAGGAAAAGCACAATGGGGATTGTCACAAGTTTAAGCTTTTCATAACATCTTTGATTCACCTTATTGTCAAATAAACATCTTTGATTCACCTTATTGGGAAAGAACATCATCATTGATTCATCTTGCAATCAATTTCAAAATTGAGAAAATTTTCATTAGTTCTTTGGGGTGGCAATGGACCCGGACATTATCTAGGACCCGAGAGGTAGACCCATATGTGCCCGTGATTGGGTCCAAAAATTGGACTGGGCAGGATGGTTAGGATCCATATTTTGGACCCAAACACTATTCGGGTCCGGGTTCAATAATATTTTTTGGGTCTATATAGATACGGTTCAATGTATAGAGAGTATTTTGAATACTCAAGTTTGAATAGGAATTCATTTAGAGAGTATTTTGAGCTCATAATTTTTTTTTTTTAGATGGATCTTCTAAATGAATATGATTCCCGAGTGTGAATCAAACTTCGGCTTGAGTGGTCAACTGTTGCTGAATAGCCGCATTACATCTCAAGTTCGATTCCTACTGCCAAACTACCAAGAGATAGAGAGGATGCTTCCCAAGTAATAGCTCCGCCATGGCCGGTCTGCCGGTTCCTAAGCTTTGAGAAAAGAGGGTATTGTTAGACAGCTAATGTAAAATATTTGCCACATCTATTTTCATGCGCTTTACTCCAAACGCTTGGGATAAAATGCATGTGATGATGAAGATGAGTACTTGAACTCAAACAATTTAAAATAAGGAAATATATATATATATAAGTACGAGACTCTAAACAATCAAATTAAAACACACCTCCAAATCTTCTCTAAAATAGGTTGTTTTGATGCCAAAAAAATCCTCAAATTGATCCTCACGACTCAAGAGGCATGAACATGAGAAAATAAATAAATTTCAAGTTTTAAAAATAAAACATCTTGTAATACATTTTTGGACAGTTAATTTTTAATTTTCATAAATATGCTCGATCTACACTATTTTTGAAACTTTAAATTTTATAATTAGAGATGAAAATATATTTTAAAACTTTCACAAAAATTTCCAATATTGAAAATCAACGCTATTTAAAAATGCACCGTACTTTGATTGTTTAGAGCCCGGCCTTATACAAACCACACCCTTTAAATAAACAAGTCAATAAGACCTAGAATAATGTGAGAATTATGCCATATATTTCATAATAAAAAGGCATAAGTGACGGGCGAAGGGTAATGAGAAACAAAAGGGAAGAGAGAAAAAAGGGGAGGGAGATGTATTAGATATTTGAACCCAATCCATTGAAAAAGAAGGAAGAAAATTATTGAAAGAGAGAGGAAAATAATAGAAATCAAGACGTCATGTTTTAGCACCCTGCAATCCAAACCACTACGGGCTTGTACATCTTCATGCACATATATACTTTCTCATAAGATTATACAAAAATGTGATAAATATATGTGATTTTGCCCGAGCCTATTGTGCGTGTGTAGAGAGACAAATAGCATACCCCTCTGAATCAAAGAACACAAGATAGAGCAACCTATATTCTATACAGCAAAAAGCTATAAAACACAAATTCCCCAGCATGCGCTCAAAACAGAGAGATAGAGTACTTTTTTCTACTCAAATATTTCTCCCTCCTCTCTCTCTTTTTCTGTGACCTTCCTCTCAACAAAATCCTCACCTAAATGGTCCAAACCCGCATCCCCTTCTCTCTCATTTCCACTGCTACAGTATCTCTCATCCTCATCCCCATCACCCTCAACAACAGCACCACTGGATACCAAACCTTCATTTGAGAATTCTCTCTCTACCTCTTTGCCTTCACATTCTGATTCTCCCACGACGCACACAGGGACCTTCAAGGATTTATCTGGCCACTCCTTAAAGAAAGAATTCATCACCATGAACCTAAAAACCTGCAACAAATGGCTCTTGTCTCTCTTGATCTCTTTGCTCAACAGTTTCTGTAAAAGGGTCGGACTCCGAGTCAAAACTGATCTCGGAGACTCTTTATTCCCAGACTTATGTGATTTTCCCTCTCTCCTCCCAGCCTTACCTCTCTTTTGGAACTTATGTTTGTTCCTGAAATTCCTCTTTTCGTTCCTGTTAAATTTCTCATGTCTCCTGTTGGGAGGTTGTTTTTCTGACTCAGAAAGATAATTTGGAGGTACTTCAGCTACCTCGATGCCTAATTCAGCCTGCTTGGCTAGGATTTCCTTTAGCCTCTGCAATCACATTCCGAAATGGCTAAGAATATCAGCGTCCGAATTATTGGCTAATTCCGAAACGCTAAGAATATCAGCATGGAAAGGGCTATAGCAAGAACAAATTTATCTTTAACTAGGCCCATAAAAATTGGTCAAGCTCAACCAGCTTTATAATTGCCAATAGACATTAGAAGAACAAATCAAAACAACCCAATAATTTGTTATAGACTAAAAGCAATGGCATGTCATCTTTGACTCGAATGCCTTACGAACACCATAAAACAAAGAAACGGCCCTTTTCTATAATTGAAGCTTATGATGTTTTATTTATGTATAAATATGGTTTTTTTAAAAGAATCTAGGTAATTAAGGTTATTATCAATTTTTTATACTTTTCTATATACTAAGGATTTTTTATTTATTTTTAATCTCGACAGTTCATGTAATCACTAAAGAGGACACCAAATTTGCAGTTTAAATTCAGCAGGAACATTTACACCGGCAGTGGATGACCTCAGATTTTAAAATTCTTTAAGCATTTCTTAGCTTGATTCAGTTTTAAAATAAATTTATGATAGATCAACCACAGGCCACCTGACAATGTAAATTATGACAATAGGGTTCACGGAAAGTATGCAATAGTCCTATGAACTATGCAAAATCATAGTTCTTTGGCATCATCAGAATCCAATGAAATGAAGGATGGTAATGGAAAGGGTGAAGGATGGTAATGGAAAGGGAGTGGAACCCACCGGTGGAGTCATGTCCTATTCTAGTGGCCCCTCTTCCTCTCCCACAGTTGGATGGCAATGACCCAAATCTCCAACAGTTTCCAAGCCCATTGGATTACAGTATGCTTTCTCTAAGGTAAAATGTCCATCTTTTAGGAATTTTGTAACTTTCAAAATTCCATAAAAAGCTACTAAAAATATCATGCAACATCGTAGTATCTATAGGGAGCGGCGTCCTGAAGAAAAAATGATTCAAGTAAAGAAAACAATGAAGAAGAAAAACATACCTTACGCCTTAATTTTGCCTCCGCATCTACAAGATTATTACGAGACTTTCCAGCCTGCTAAAGACAAAGTATAAGGATGTGTCCTAATTGAAGAAGAAAAAGAAAATGAGAGGGGCGGGGGGGGGGGGGGAGAGAGAGAGAGAGAGAGAGAGAATCCTTTGTATAGTACAAATAAAGCACAGCAAAATGAAAGTAAACCTTCTTTTCTACATTTGCGTTTGTGGGGAAGTTCTTCTTACGCTCTTCCCGCCATTGCTTTATCTCGTCTTCCGTATAAATTGCAGACAGAGATGGCCTTTAATAAAATATACAAGAAATAAAGTAGAATCAGAAATAGAAAATAACAATTAAAACGAGTCAATAATCAAAAAGTTTAAACTTCAAACAACCTGAATTTTACACTCCATCTAGATAAATTATTGATTAGTTATCGTGGAAAATACCTTTTAGATTCAGGGATACCTTCTCTATTCCAATTATTACGATTAGAATTTCGTGCTCCTTCCCTATGTTGGCCTGTTTATCACAATTTTCAAAAGTTGATTCTTAACAATAGTTGATGGAGCAAAATGTGAGTTTCATTGCATAGCTTATACAGGTAGTAATAAAAAAAGAGAGCACAAAATACCCATAAGAAATAAATTATTTAACAGTTTACCCTTTTAAACCTATTCCCACTCAAGACCCTGTGTTATTTTATGGGTATTTGAAAATTAAATTAAAATATATGGGCAAAGTGTTCAATAGTTAATCTCTCATGAGTAATTTGATAAATTTCCCATGAAAAGAAAATTCCATCAAATTACTTCAAACATATCCTACGTCATGGTTTTGTTATTCTAAAAAGGGAAACAAAAGAGCATAAAAAGAAATTAGCATGCCTAAATCAATCAGACATTAAATTTATTTGGCAGGACAAGCATAGTTCATCAATGATATCTGAAGGAATGCATTTTGTAAATTGCTTCAAATCATTTTTATTTTGATGGGTGTAATTGTTTTAAGGAATTAACTGTAATGAGAACCCTATCGTTTCTAAATAAACTTTCAAAAAAAAAAAAAAGATTTAATGAAGTTCAAATCCAAACTCCTCATTCCATCAAATAAATACATTATTCTCTCCTACTCAAAGTATACTAAAATAAATCCTAAAATAAATCAGAAACTTACCATGCACAACACCCTTAAAGCATTTCCCATTTCTAGTATCATGCTTGAATTTTGCCTTAGAGTTTCCTATGCCATGGAGAGAAGGCGTCCTTAATCTACAATGTAAAATAGTAAAAAGAATGATCTCATGGTCATATGCATAAACCACCAAATCACACAGTTAAGACTAATTCTACCTAGCATACCTTGATTCACCTTTATCAGAATGATGTGGAGTATTGCCAAATTTCTTTCCTTTAGGACCGTCATTCATAATTGGAGCATTATGTTTTCCCACATGATCGTAAGAAATTTCCTAAAGAGTGGACATGAAAATCATGATGGAGGCAGAACAGTAGTGATTGTTAGGATGAGTATGAAATTCAAGGCACAAATACGAGTTAATGATGGGAAAATATGCGATAAGTGCACTAAACTTTCCTACATAAACTCACACCCTACACGTCAGATGGGGACAGTGATCGCTGGGGTGTGTCATTCTTTCCGCTGCTTGAAGTCAATCAAAACTTTTGACAAACGTTGTGCAGAGAGAAGACACATCCCATCCGTTACTCTCCACAACTAAAGAATTGAGAGGGTGTGAGCATTAATTTAAAATGTTGTGCACATACTGCATACTTTCTCATTAGAGATACAACATTGCATCTTAAGGAATATATTTCCTCACCCACACAAACAATAGGAATTTTTTAACATGTATACAACCCAAAACCTGTAGAATGTGCATATGTATATACATGCACACCTCCACACACAATAGACGCATACAAGTAACTAAATGCATGTTTATGCAAATCCGTACACAGCTATGACATTGACAGGCGCATGAGTGCACATCAGTGAGTATATTTGTTGAATATTTGGTGGAATTTTCGCCATAACATGTTCAAACTCTTAATAGGTTACATGCTTGAACTTTCAGGCAATGGTGAATATATGTTGTTGGGCATTATATATTTCAAGCAGGGGATTCATTCTTTTGAAACTTAAGACAACAGTTACCCAGTAGATTTGAACTGCAAACTTAAGTATGAAACATTACCTGTGGCTGAAGAAATCCTTGTGGTTGCAAACTCTTCTGCATTGGTTGCATTTGGGGTGAAGTATTCAGTTGTGAGAACACATTACCTGGAACTCCTATGGCGCTTTGACCCAGATTAGGCAATACTAATTGATGGAAGTTTTGATACGGTATTCCCATACAAAGCTGAGATTTCTCAAAAGAACCACTGCTGACATGGTTTGAAGAGCTTGTTAGAGGTTGGAAGTTTCCTAAGGCAGGGCAACCCACTGTTGAAGGATTGTTTTGTGGATGAGGGACAAAAGTAGGATGAGAAGGATTTACAGTAAACGTAGTCCCAGGATTAATGGGATTTTGAGGACATTGTGGGATTTGATTAGCAGCATAAGCGTTAACTTGTGGGTGGTTATGAAACCCATTCGGATTAGCAAACTGAACCGAGTAACCTATGCCATTAACAAAAGCATTAGGCATGTGATTCGAAGGTAATGTCTGAGCTCTATTTGGAAACATCACTGAAGGGTTATGGGTAAGCCGGTTTTGGAAATTAGTGTTTTGATTATTGAGTGGGTTATGGAAATTAGGGTTTTGAGTATTGAAGTTCGCTGGAAATTGGATGTGATGTTGCATGGGAAGATTCTGTATATGTGGTTGCAAGCTTGTGAAAGCTAAATGATTAGGCTGGGAATATGAATGAGGGATGAGATTACTGTTTTGATTACTGTAAAATTGTGCAGGCTGGGGATTACCAACATTTGAGCCGGGCATCATTTCCTGTTGTTTTCGCATGAACAAAGCAAAACATTAGAGGATGCATCATTGTATAAAAGAGAATAACAGAGCAAATTTTGAGAGAGAGTGCATCGACCACAGAGGAGCAGAGAGAGTACAAAACTGGTTTTTCAGAGTAGAGAGAGAAATAATAAGTGTAAAAACTGAATTGCAGAGTAGAAAAGGGGGGGGAGAGAGAGAGAGAGAGAGACTAACTACAAATACTGGTTTTATGGAGAAGCACAGATAATAACTGGTATATAAAATTTGCAAGCTAAATGAAAATCCTAGTATAAAAAATAATCAAAAGAATGATACAGTCATGTCCAAAGTTATAAAAATTAAAAGAAATCACAGCATAACACAGAAGAAAACAATTAATCTCTAAATTTAGCAAAATAATAGAAGCATCGCATAAATACCTGGTTGGGAAGAGAAGACTGAGGGTTCACCAAAGGGATCATGCTTTTGTTAAAGAGGACGATGCCCTAGCTACACAAAACCAAAAAAAAAGAAGAAGGGTTTCCAAACTTGAAGAAGCAGTTGTACAGAGCCACGGCAGAGAGCTAGGTAAGACCAAGTATTTATAATTGGAATATGCACTTCATTTGAAACATAAATTATTTTATACAGTTTAATCGCTATTTTCCCTGGATTAGGGTTTTGAAGCTTCATACCTTGAGGCTTGAAGTGAAGACGCTCAGAAACCATGAAGGTTTTTGGTGAGGCAGCATATATTTCATTTCGGGGGCCACGTGTATGTTGCGCGTCACCGTGTCCACTCGCCCGAATCATAACATATAACCGGCGATTCTTCTTTATACACACCCGATTCACTGTAGCATATTACTTAGAACCGATTCTTCTCTAGACACGCCCGATTATCTGTATTATACTGGAATAAATAACCGATTCCTGTGTCGACTCGGACGTTTTTTAAACCACTGCCTTGAAGTAAATACATTAAGAAACCATGAAGGTTTTTGCAGCTGCTTAAGAGAGAGGCTTTTCAACAATTATAAGACACTCTATATCTTTGCACAAAAATATCATAATCACTTCTAGCCGTCAGTTATGAAATCGAATGACCAGCAATTGATTTCGTTTGAATCAAGAAATTTGCAATGGATTTTATAGAGACTCATACACTTTGGCCATCCGATTTTAAATCAAACGGTGGAGATGACCTCCCCCAACATAAAATTCGCAACTTTTTTTACTTTTAGAGACATCCCGATGTGTCCTAGTTACTCAATTTTAGATGAAAATACCATGGAGAAATTATCCAATTGAAAAAAAAAAGTAATCAAAACATTATATGCTTTTGCCATTTCAGGCTAGGCGCACATATGATTTTGATCTTTGTAGTGGCTTGTCAGTTTTCCCAGCCACTTTGGTGCTCCAAGAAATCACTACATAATCCCATATGTGACAAATTCAAGATCACTAAGCCATATAAGCACACAAATCCCAATCCCCAAGAACCCAATTCAATCCAAAAAGGCATTAAAAAACCCTAAGCATCTAAACGACTCCTATGAAGGCCATAGCACTAAGAATTAAGAGGAAAAAAACTAAAAACTCCAATAAGCCAATTCAGTTCAATAGCTTACAGTTAATACTCAATGACTCAAATAAAGAAAGAGAAAAACTCAAAACTCAAAACTCAAATTAAATCAAACACTCTATTTTATTTGAAAAAAGTTGAAGGTCTTTTTACTTTGATCAATTATCTTACAAGCCACTTTTGATGAAAAAAATGTGCATAAAAGGAGAAAGATAGAAGCTTACAGCCCATAAGGGAAGAGTGGCTACTCTTTCTGTGACTATGAGCCACAATCAAAGGCGCACCTCCAAATTTATCATAAATTTGGATCATTAGCGCAATATTGTGCATAATATTGTGAAATTTATTAATATGAGTAATGACACTATGAGATCCTCCCAAATCCATGTGAATAGGACCCCAAATGATCACCATTAAATTTTGACACAGATCTCTAGAAAAGTTATCACATGGGTGTGGGACTTGGGTGAATGGGTTTATTCATAACTTTTTTAGATAACTGTGTCAAAATTTAATAGTGATCTTTTGGGGGTCCTACTCATATGGGTGTGGGAGGGTCTCACAATATCATTATTCTATTAATATACCTATACCCTAATGTTTTCATAAATCCAATTTATAACCAATCTTTATAAATTACTTAGTATTTCCTCAAGAGGATGTCCCCATCTAACTTCATCTTTGCGTTGAATTACAATATTTCAATATGTAATAAAATGGCCGTTTTGAGGTTAACCCCAAATGTATTACAACATATTTCACTTTCAGGCCCTGTTTGATAACTGGATGCAAGTTCATGAACTATAAATTGGAAGTTCCTAAAGAACTGTAAATCAAAAGTTACTTAAGAAGTTCATGATTTTTGTGTTTGATATCCTCCCTGGGAAGTTAAGAAGTTCCTGGTTTACGTGTTAGATAACCTCCTGGGAAGTTAAAAAGTTCACGGGTTCTATGTTTGATAACCTCTCGAGAAGTTAAAGAAGTTATGAGTATCTGTATTGGATTAACTTTAAATAGGCAAGATGTAAAATGTTAAATTTGAGACCTAGATATTTTTTATGTTTTATTAATTTGTAGAACCCCATGAAGAGAAACCCATGATATTTATTCACTTAAAGTTGAAAGGGAAGTCCATCAATACTTCTATCGCGCTTACAAACACTTATATCAAGCTACAACACAAGTCTTGTGTTTCCCAACAAGTAGTAATTCAATCGATGTAGAAAAGAGATGCAAAGCAACAAGAAGGGATAAAACCAAAATACGAATGAGTGAGAAATCACAAGGAAACAAGAACATGGAACTCAACCAGTTGGTATTGAGAGTGCCACACAAAGTCGAATCTACCAGTACTAAGCTGAAAAATAAAGAGAAGGCCAATCCACAACCAACTATTATCTTGTAATGAGCAGTAGAAATATAATGACAAAATTTTCATGCACTTCCAAAGTAGACCTTACTGAAAAACCTGTAAGAAACATTAATAACTGATCCAACCAACATGTCTCTTGGTGCATTAACAACATAACATAAAGGGGGTCGGATTAATAACCCAAATGCATCCATTATGAACCTATCCATTTAATCCATATTGTCAATTCAAGCTCCAAGTCATCATCTTGCAACATTCATGAGCATCTCATGCAAGATACACTAGAATGGATAATTTGGAGGAGCAAATGCAGATGACAAACACATGTATTGATATATATTGAAGAGCTTAGGGGAAGATCACCATTGATACTGCATATCCCTTAACACAAGCCAATGTCACTAGCTTAAGTCATATTCCAGTGTTCGAAAACCGGCCAATCTAACCGCTAACCGGCCGATTAGATCGTCGGTTTTGGTGATCAACCGGTATTTTAGACGTTAAATAGATTAATACTTCAAATTTATATCAAATGCGTTAGGTGGCTTTATTGGTTAGCGCCAATGGTTTAAAAAACAGATCGGTGACCCGGATCGGGCACCTCAATAACCGATCCGGTTCGGCGAATCGGCGATCCGAATCGGGAATCGGCTAAATCGGCCGTATTAAAGCTTCAAAAAAATCCGAAAAAATTATTAAAATTCATTATAAATGTTGTTTTTTAGGAATCCAATAAAAAATGAGGGTACTACATTATTAACTTTCATTTTTTTTTATCAATTTGTGAATATTGAAATGTTCTTTCCCTGTATAAATTTATTTTAACTATTAAATTTGCATCACATAAAAGAAAAATCATAGAATTATCATGGATAAGATATATAATTATATATGGAATATTATAAAGAGTAGACTAATCAATGAAAAAATGGCCATTAAAATCTCGTTTTGGCGAAAAACCCAAACTATTACAGCCTAACTAACTATAATCCGAAATTATTACAACCTCAC